GGGGATGGAACATTCTTCCTGATCTCATTGTGTGGTGATATTTGAAGATTTGAAAGGGACTCTACACCCTCCTTCAAGACCTGAAATTAGCTCAACATTTGGAAGATAAATACTACATCCTTGGAAATTCAGATTCTTCAGACACGTATTTATTTGTGAATAGTTGTCTTCTCCCTTTCAGACCAGCAACTTTTATCTTTATTATCTAAATATTGCCTCAACTCAAGTAAGAACTTAGGAAAGCTCATTTTATTTTGTGAATGTTGTTGATACATTTTATCACCTTTTAATGTATTACTGACTAATATGAAATAAGCACTAAAACTTAATAAAAGAACCCTGGATAATATTTTAATAAAACTATTAAAATATATAATGTGTTAATATAAACATTTTATAGATATGTATAATTTCAAATTTTTCATGTGTAATCTTGCTTTCTGATAATATTAGATATTTTAAAAAGTACAAATGTCCTGAAATATTTTGTAAAAATATACCAAAATTCTTTAGGAAGATTAAAAATGAAGCTGGTTTTATGACGTCTGACGTACAAACCTAAAAATATATGCACACATACACACATGTAGAAGACTACCTCAAATGTATCATACTAATAAAAAAATTGGACTTAATTTCTCGACGTGGGCATTCAAAAGTCCTAGAAATTTCAAGGAAAACCGTTCTCCGGAAGCGTTCTATCATTGAACGGCCAACAGCGCCCTCTGTCGGAATTTTGTAGCAGCAAATTGAACCGCCGTTCGATTTCGTTTTGTGCAATTTGGGGAGGTGGTTGAAAACGTTTTATTGCTGTGTGTTTTTGCAAGTTCACTCTTACTACACCTACTAATTTTAGAAGCGATTGCTTCAACATTCAACTTGTTCAAACTCCTCCAAAAACTATAAATAAAAACAACCTCTCCCGAGAATAATTTTCCCTAATTTAAACTCATTTCTTCTGCTCGCTTATTCTATTGTATTCTTTTAAGGAGAAGATGCCCTCAAGAACTCAATAAAGGCAAAAGCAAAGGCGAAACAACTCTGGATTTCCTAGGGCAGTAAGAGTCCGATACGCATTTTCGTCATCGTTTTGTTTTCCCTTTGCCTGTATTCTTTTCCAAGCCACGTACATGCTCAGCTGGTGAGAACGCGCTTCAGATATGCTGGGTGGTTCTACTGTTTCCCTTTCCCACTCATACTTATTTCAACTTATAACGACGAAAGAGAGAGAGAGTTAACAACAACATCTTTTTTTCATCCTCACATCAAGGGAATATTGTCCAATAAATGCGAGAGCCGATAATGGAAAACAAATGCGCCTACCGTGGAGCCCTCTGCTGGCAGCTTTAGGAATAGGTTTAGGATTTTTAAAAAAATGTAACCCCAAATTTCCATAATAAATCTCGGTCATTTTTTAGGACTCTCATGTTGGCTTTCTTTAAAAATCTATGTAGGAATTACCTGAATTTATTTCATTTCTTTCTCTTCCTCTCCTTGGCACTGTAAAGATATGTCCCTTTCCAGATTACTCACCTTTTCTCTGTCTGTTACTGTCTCCCTGTGTTTCCATTTTCCCCAAACACAAAAATAATAAAGAGAAGCTGAGGCTCAGGAGTAGGACTATTGTGTCAAATATGGGTCGGGACCCATCTCATACGAGGTGCTGTGAAAAGCTACATAGTAACCCGAAGCTCGGTGTAGGGAGCTCTGGAATGGGAATGATTGTAATGAAAGCAACACGTGAAAAATCCATGTGATACAGTTTGTTAACGTCCCTGTCAACAATTTTATCTCTTGCCGTGGACTGGGTATAAGGGCAGTGGAGAAGTCCATCAGGTAAGGACCTGCATGAGGGTTACTGAATGGAGGAAGGAGTCCCAATTTAGGTCTTTTGACCAGGCACACAAGCACTCCCCCCCGCCACCCCGCTCATGGTGCTGCCTTCCTACCTTTTTTTAAGAAATTA